GAAATTATGATTTAAACCAAATGGGCTCCATAGTGATGAATGGCAGATTAGATCGGTGACAGTAAAGTCTCCGCCATAAATACTGTATGTTTATGGTAGCATTTTTAAGCATTTTAAAGTCTATGTATCAGTTTCAATTAAGTTTATTAAAAAGCGCCAATTCACAACACAAATCAATTCACAGAGGCTATTAAATTAAATCACACAGATTGGTAAAAATTTTTCACCCTAAGGAAAACCAGCTGAATGCATGAAGTCATTGACTTTGCAGGATGCCAATTATTCTTGCTATTTGTTCATCTAGGTCCACAAACTACTTAGTAGCACCTGCCACAACCAGATACATATGAAAAACAACACCTTTTGACAGCTTTCGGCTATAGGAGAGGGACAGGGTTATGCGCTGACAGACAGGGCTGAGTGTATCATGTATAGAAGGAGAAATTGAAGCTATTGGCAGCAGTAGGTCACCTTCCAGGAATGGAGTTAAAGAGAACTCCAGCATCATACCTCATTTTTAATCACAGAGGGTTTTGCTAAAGTGTAGAGGAAGTGGCCCAAAATCTATGAATTTTAAAATTGTGTCTGTAATTTTCATAGTACCACTAACCATTTCCTCCCCACCCCTCCCACTTTTCTCTGGAAAATTAGTTCTGCTTAGAGCTAATATTGTCTTCACTGCATTGTCTACATATGTTGTTCTCCACAATGGGCTCTATGCACAACTCCACTACTTCCTCACCTCAAGGCAGCCTAATTCTTTTCTTTCTTTATCTACGTGAGGAGCTGATTAATCAAGGTGTGCCTGACCCCAGTAAGCATTGCAAGGGGCACATGGATTAATGAGTCCATCCAGTAATGAAAGACAGGAAACAAAATAGCTGCCTTGAGTTCAGAAAGTAGTGGAGCTGTGCATAGAGCCCATTAAAACTTCAGAAAGCTGCTGCAATGTTGCATGAGTAAGACATACATACTGTACATTGTATTTGTTTTAGTTTTGAACAATGAGGTAGCAAATGACAGACCAGGGCTTTGTTTTCTGATTATTTCATAGGATACCTGTGCCCACCTGGCTATGCTTGTCCAGATGGCAGCGCAGAGCCAGTCATCTGCAGTCAGGGCACTTTTCAGTCTTTATCTGGACAGTCAGTTTGTGAGAGCTGCCCACCAGGTAACTGCACTCTGCCACTAATTTGTGCATATACCCTATTTGTACTTTTTTTTTTTAAGAAAAAGAAAGAATATGCCATTGTTTTCCAGGTTTTTATTGTGTGGAAGGTTCTTCTGTTCCTTCTCCGTGTCCATTGGGCTATGTCAGTCCATTAGCTGACAGGATGTCCCTGGGTGACTGCTTGCCCTGCCCCTCCGGCTACTTTTGTAACAGCAGCGCACTGACAGAACCGTCTGGACCCTGCAGCCCAGGTCTGTCAGTTACCAGGCAGTATGTCACAAGAAAAAAAGCCTTGCTAGTAAAGGATATTTTTGTACAGAAGACATTTGTTGCAGTCCAGTTAGAGTCTTGAATAGCTGAGTTTAATATTTAAAGTTTACATAAAATGAATTTAGCAGAATTTGGTCAAAATTTTAATTTATCATTTCTACCACGGTGTCATTAGAATTATGCACCAGGGATAGAGTTTTATTAACACAATAGTTTTAAAAGCTTTCATAATTGATGAAGTAAGGCTTTACCAACAGAATCAGCTTTATTGGCCATAATTTTCAATTTGCATGTGTGGATAGTTATTATATATGCAAACAAAAAAAGTGAAAAAAAGAGGATATTGAAGTGAAAATATGATTATTTTGTTATAAGCATTCTAGTTAACTATAAAAGTCAAAGCCAGTAAAGGAAAGAAAGAACGAAAGGTGCAAATGAAGAAAGAAAAAAAAGAGAGAAAGAAACAAATCCAAGCAGAAACAGAGTAAAATGTGAATTTTAAATTTGAAGTTGTAGTTCTAGCTTTGAACCTGTGTGAAATACATTTGCCAAATGAATTTAGATCTTAAACTGTTTAGAAAATGGTTCACATGCAGAGGCGTCAATGGTATTAATATTTGTTCCTCAAGTTGAAGTATATCATGTTGTTTAAAAACACTCTTGTAGAAGTTGGAGTATCAGCTTAAGCTTTTTACTCAAGTAAATTTCTAAAAGTACAATTTTTAAAGCTACTTAAAGTCTAAAAGTAAAAGTAATGCTGGAAAAAAAGGATAAGGCCCAAACCTTTAAAGCTGATACTGCACTACCCTATTAAAGGAATATTTTTATACAACTCCGGATGATAACTTCCTTAACTTAGTTTTATAGGTAAGGGCAACAGTGTCAAATTCAACTTTGCATCATCCCGAAAAATGTATTTATTTTGGTATGTGGCCAGCAACAACTTGGTGCAGTATTGAGTGCAATTCCATTTTGGAGTGAGAAGTGAGAAATTCCTTGTCTGACCTAGACAAACCGTTTTGTAATTTTGTATGCACAGAGTGTATACCAACTGAATTCCATTATAAACAACTTACAAAAGTGTAATACTATTGCAGTTGGAGTAAGATAAACATTACAGATGATTACATTACCGAAATAAAGTGCAGCAGTGATCAGAATGTAAACAATGAAACACTCAAATTTAAACAATGTACGAGAAAAAGGAACCAGTCTAAAATAATGGTGCAAAAGAGCATTAAGAAGAAAAATTTCAGTGCAGTGCAAAATAAATATGGTGCAGGGGTAATTATATTAATGAAACAATTTATTTGGGTGTTTTTGTTTGTTTTTTTTTTTTTAAATACCAACAGGTCATAACGAAGAAACAAAACTCACAAGTCGATTTTTCAGATATAAGGGGTAATATGTACAGATAATAAAAAAAATGTAAGGAGTAAAAGTAAAATTACTCCAGTAATGTACAGATAGGCAAAACTACTGACAAGAAAGTGGACAAAGATGTGTGGACAAAGATGCTTCAATAACAACTGATCTTTACCTCTATAATCAGACATTATATATGTATATTTCTTTCTGATGTCTTGCTTCTTTATGTTCATTTTTAAAGTTTCTATTTTCCAAACAATTGGTTTTACAGTTGTTATTTTAAAAAGTCTTGAAGATAAATCTGGCATACCATTAATAAGTGTGCCCGTTTTTCTGAAAATGTGTGCACTTAGTAAAATAATAAATATTTCATTAAGCCCTAGATAGATGTTTGTCCATGTGTTTCTCTACAGGGCATTTTTGTTCCCAGGGCTCTGTGGAGCCTTCACCTCTCTCCCAGCCATATGGTGATATTTGTCCCATGGGACACTTCTGTCCTCTGGGAAGTACGTCCCCTCAACCCTGTCCTGTTGGTAGTTTCCTTCCAGATGTCGGAGCTTCATCCGTGTCCCACTGCCGTCCTTGTCCCCCAGGGAGATACTGCCTAACTCCTGGAGCTTTGAAACCTTCAGGTGGGAAACTACACTTCTATCTGACTTTATCCATATATAGTAGAAGGTATAGAACCAATAATCATTTTTTAATGTTTGAATAACATAAGAAAATAAAAACAATCTGGTGGGTTTCATGGCAGATTGTTAAATGTAACCTCTTATCTCTTTATCAATCTTTTTGTGTTAGGTTTATGTTCTACAGGGTACTTCTGTTCTGGAGGTGCTGACAGCCCCACACCACGAGCCAAATCCTCGGATTTTAATTGTCTTGGGGAAATCTTAGACCTTTACTCAACTGAAATAGATGTTGCCTTGTGGATGTACAACTTTTCCTGCTCTAACTTCTATGCTAAACCTGGTATTTTAATATATTTTCTAATATTAATGTAG